TCTCTAGGGAACTTGCATCAGCATTTGGCAAAAGGTATGTATCATATGGGAATAAAGAGTTTTTATACATTGGCATAAAGATAAATATTTCCATAATCCCATAGAAAAAATTTTAAAAGTTATAAAAAGGTAATGAAGTATTAAATCATAAGAATATATCTCATCATTACTAGTAATTTTTAAAATATACATTTCAGCAATAAGCATTGTTGACAGAGGGAGGAAACACAAGTTTTTGTGGCAATTAAGGTTCAAAAGTATTAAGAATATGAACGCCCAAAGCATCACAAGAATGGAGAAGCAAGAATCCTATGTACTCAATTCCCATATGAGGACAGTTGATGACCTAGTACACCGTGGGGGGTGGGTGAAGGGGAGAGTAGAGAGAGGGAAGGAGGGAGGGGGTGAGGGTGAGCGACTGTGTGACACACCTTTGGGGGACGGGACATAATCATAAGAGGGATTTTACCTAACAAATGCAATCAGTGTAACCTGGTTCTTTGTACCCTCAATGAATCCCCAACAGAAAAAAAAAAAAAGTACATTAAAGGATAAATTAAAAGAAAAAGAATATGAATGCCCTATACACAAATATAACAATGTGTATGCAACAATGTAACTATTTTACACTCAATAAAAATTGTTTAAACAAGCTAAGTGTTCATTAATAGAGATTTGGTTAAAAAAATTATGACACTTCCAAAAAGAAGTATGCAGCAATTAAAAGCAATATGGCAATTGCATATTTACTAAAATGAAAAAATGCTCATGCTGTATTACTAAGTTTCAAAAACATATACAAAATAATATATTTTGCAAATTAATCCATCTTTTTATTAAAAGATAATATAAAGACTGGAAAGGTCCCTATCAAAATATTAATAGCAAAATATTAATATTATCTCTGTGAATCATTTTAAGTTTTTATTGTTGTCTTTGTATGCTCATATATTTAGCAAATGTTATTGAATATAACATGATTCTATGTATAGAATCATGTACAAACTCAGTGAACAGATAAAACGCTTGAAACACAACAACTAATGTGTTTTCTGACCTTCAAATGTTAATTATTTTTGAAGCCTTATTCAACCATGCTAGTCATAACTCAATATTATATATTAGGATTAATACTTAGAAAATACAGAGATAAATTTTGTATGCTCCCCCCCACTTTTTTAAAGAAATGCTGTGGGTCCTAGAACACTGCAGTTTGTTCAAATCATACAAACCTCTTTGTACATTAACAAAAGGTAAAGAACCTTTTGTTCCTTACCAGGTGTATCCAGGTCAATGACTCATGTCTTTAGCAGAAAAAAAGCAGAGTATATGGGCTTTTTAATTAACCTAGACAGAGCTGGGACACATTCTTCTTAGTGAAGTATCATAAGAAGGGAGAAGCAGGAATCCACTGTACTCACTGCTAGTATGAAGCCAATAGACAATCTGATACACCCCCACATAAGAGAAAAACTCCAATCAATTCAAGGTAGGGGGCAGAGGAACCCGGGGAGGGGAGAGGGAAGGGGGAGAGAGAAGGGGGGTTACGGTGTGTGGCATACCTCTTGGGGGTGGAACACAGTTATAAGAGGAACTTTACCTAACAAACATAATCAGTGTAACCTAATTCTTTGTACACTCAATGAACCTGAAACAATAATAAGAAAAGTAGCTAGTTTTTTTCTTTAAAATTTCCATAGTTGGCTGGGTACGGTAGCTCACACCTGAAATCCTAGCACTCTGAGAGGCCAAGGCAGGTGGATTGCTTGAGCTCACAGATTCGAGAGCAGCCTGAGCAAGAGCAAGACCCCATCTCTAAAAAAAAAAAAAAAAATTGTGTCAGATGCCTGTAGTCCCAGCTACTTGGGAGGCTGAGGCAAGAGAATCTCTTGAGCCCAAGAATTTGAGGGTGCTTTGAGCTGTGATGCCACAACACTCTACCAAGGGCCACAAAATGAGACTCTGTCTAAAAAAATAAAAATAAAAACTCTATGGCACTTTGATTCTATTTCGCATTTAGGAGTTAAATTATATCATCTGGTTCTAAACCTACTAGTCACCATGCCTTACTTTCCTAACTGTAATTTCCCTCTCTGAACTCAGGACCATACATATTTCACATCCTGTGTAATGGTGGGTAGAGCGACTTCTGTCCTTATTGTAAATCATCAGACACTGAGGTAAGGCCCGGGGCCTGTGGAAACCTGCCACTATCCTTGCCTGGTGTAGCGGGAGGCAATGGAGAAAAGAGAGTGTTATGAAACTCTTTTTGCAAGTACATGGAGTGGCAACTCAGAAAGGGAAACAAACTCAGACTTCAGGGTTTAGCAAAAGCTTTTCAGAGGCGAGATATGAAGGAATCAATAAATGAAGGATGAATTAGAGAAATACGGAAACCCTAGTGTGGGGAGAATGCACCAGGCAAGAGGAAGGGCGATCGCAAAAGCTCATAATCAACCGAGGACAAAGAAGTTTAGAAAAGTGAAAATAGTTCTTTATTGTCAGGATTCTGACCTGAGAAAAATAAAGCCTCTGAGGTGAACTGAAGATATTACCGTGAAGTGTCTCATAAGCTCTGTTTTCACTTCTGCCTGCTCTTTAAACAGTTGAGTTGTAGAATATAAATGTCTTAACACAATAACTAAGAAAATGCCATGAAGGTTATGTTGACCAGTTTGATGAAAATATTTCAGATTGTGTATAGAACCAGCACACTGTACCCCATGACTGCATTAATGTACACAGCTATGATTTAATAAAAAAAAAAAGAAAAACAGTTGAGTGCACTCCTATCCTTAGTATTCTGCAATTTAAATTCCTTCAGTTTGGCTAAACACCTTTATAAAACTATTACTCAATTTTTTTCATTAAGAAATGAACTATGCTGCCAAACAAAAACAAACGTATAACCTATTTTTATAGGAAAGTGGGGACATCAAGTGCTCTTACTTTTCCAGATTCAATTTTGTTTTAACTATTTATTTATTCATGTATTTTTGAGACAGAGTCTTACCCTGTTGCCCTGGGTTGGGTGCCATGGCATCATAGCTCACAGCAACCTCAAAGCCTTGGGCTCAAGTGATCTTCATGCCTCAGCCTCCCAAGTAGCTGGGAGGACAGATGCCTGCCACCGTGCTGGGCTAGTTTTTCTATTTTTAGTAGAGACACAGTCTTACATTTGCTCTGGAGGGTCTTGCACTCCTGAGCTCAAGCAATCCACCCACATTGGCCTCCCAGAGTGGTAAGATTACAGGCGTGAGCCACCACACCTGGACTGAGATTCAGAATTTTCATATTTTTGTTTGCATTTGTTCTTGTGAGGTCAGTGTTGATATAAACCAGTTGCGATGCTCACCTACTTGCCAGCATTACTTAGGAATACTCCATCATACCAGAATTTGATGTGCAGTAAGTATTTTAACGGGTTGCTCAGTTTTTATTTTAAAGCTCTAGGTGACCCCTCAACAACACAGGTTTGAATTTCGTGGGTCCACTTATGCACAGAGTTTCTTTAGCCTGTGTGCCCCCCTCCCACCACAGCAACACCAAGCCCTCCTCTTCTGTTTTGTTAGCCTACTTAGCATGAAGAAGACCCTTATAATGATCCACTCCACTTGATGAATAGAAAATATACTTTGTCTTCTTTATGATTTTCTCAAAAACATATTCTTTTCTCTAGTATACCTCATTGCTAGAACAAAGTATATAACACATATAAAATACAAAACGTGTTAATCAACTGGTTTGTTGTTGTTGTTGTTATTGGTAAGGCTTATGGTCAACAGTAGGCCATCAGGAACATTTTGGAGAAGTTAGAGGGTACAGGCTTATTATTTTACTATACAGAGGCCAGTGCCCCTGACACCACTGTTGTTCAAGGATAAATTGTATTCTGAATTATTTTTTAGTTTGAGAAATGCCCCAGGAATAGTAAAGAACATTTGCATCCACCTAAAAATAATTTTATGGGTAAGAGTTTTTTTAAGGTATATATTTTTCCTACACGTTATTAAGGAAGAGGGTAAAATAGAATTATTCAAGAACGATATAAGCCTTTTAAATTTGAACTTATATTTCTGGCATTAGAATCCAGCATTTTGGGAAGGAAAATAAGTTTAAATAGAAATGAAGCAAATTATTTTAAATTTTGTTTATATGTGATCTTAATGTTTAAAGTAATGTAAAGTTATGCTCAAGTTAGTTTTGTGCCTAAAAAACTGCAATAAATAAATATCATTTTTAATCTATTACCCATTTCTCAAATTTAGCTCATCATCCCAAATCTGATTATACTCTATAAAATGGGTGATCAGGAAAGTCCAGTTGACATGAGAAATCATGTTCTTTCTCATCAAAATACATACAGAACTCACAAATGAAATAAAGGATGAAATATTATTGGAGAGGCATTTGGGGTTTGACTTTGTCATTATTAATGCCTTTTTCTTCCCGTGTTTTTCCTTCCTAAAATTAGGATAGAATTAAAATTATGAGAAGATTAGGGATTTGTAAATGAAAATCAAGCAGATTTTGAAGAAAGGGTGCTCCAGATATTCCATTTGGTTATTTATAAGCATCAAACTTCACGTAATTTCATAATTACAAAGACTTTTAAAAGTAGTGAATTATGCCCTCCTTCGTTAGAATGTATAAATTCTTACAGCTCATCTCCTAAGAACTTACTGTACTATATTTAGGAAAGAAAGGAAGCAAAGAACATTCTGGAAAAGAGTGAGCTTGTGGTCTTGCTGCTTGGGAGAAAAACTTAAGCTCTAGTCTAGAGCTTTAAAGTCTGCTGTGTTAGAGTTAAGTCTTTAAGTGAATCACATCTCCTCAACTGAAAACCTATTAAAAGTAGCAGCGAGGTTAATGAGCAATCTGAACCTCTTCGGAATGATTCATGCTGACCCTGAGATGTGTCCTGCCTGGGTGCAGCTCTGTGGACTTGGCCCTGCTACTTGCCCGGCTCTGGGGAAGGGGACGAGCACAAATTGACTCACAGTTCTGGATGTCGGAGGAGCTGAAGGACTCGTCAGGGAAACCATCTCTTGGATTGCTAATCGGAGTTTTAAGCGATGCAGTGGATTGCTGATTCCAATTTCTCTCTGGATCTCTGTGTCGGACAGAGCAGACATGATGGCGCCGCTCTTCACGTTGGCTCTGCAGGCGGCCACGTACCAAGCTGGCATTCCCAGCCAGAGCTGTCGGATAGGAAGACAGATTCCTGAGTTATAACAGGAGTTACCATGTTAGTCTCACGTGCTAGGAAATATTACAAGTGCCTTCCATACATGAACTCATTTATTGCCCAAATTCCTGCGAGATAAATATTATCATTTCACTTAATCACAAAGGCATTAAGTCATATATTTAAAAACATCAGCTAGGCAGTGATATAATCAAGATTTGAAATTGAAACCTTATGGCTCCAGAGCCTGATTTATATCAATCTCATCTTAGTACTGATTTATATCAATCAGGGATAAATGTAATAGTGGCACAGCACTAACTTCCCTCCTGTACTTAAGAATAAGAACAGCTGCAAGCCATATTTGGCTCAGTCGATATTTGTTCATCGAATGACTTCAATTCATAATTCTCCTTTGGAATTCTGAATGCAGAGAAATTCCATCACAGAAAGAGACGGAGATAGCATCTCCGATTCTGTGGTCTGGATCAAAGCATTCAGGGCAGCCAGGCCACACGTTCTCCAACTCTCCTGCACCATATACGCAGGTTCTGTGAACTTAATTAGATGCTATGTATGAAAATGCTTTTTGGAAATGAATGATAAAATAACAAAAGACACTAAGGTTAGAATCTTCTGTAGCTAAAAGGAAATCAATATCTCATGATAAATTGGAGATTCTGGTATTTCAACTTTGCTGTTAGTCTCTTGGAAGTCAATTGAATCATTTAGAAAGATTGACACGTACCCTTGTAAGATGAACCATAGGCTTGAGCCCACCAATCACCTTCCCTCCATCCATCCTCCTCCCTCCCTTCCTGTCCTTCTCCACTCTCCCCATATTCTTGAACTATAATTGGGTTATACCTTTCCTAGAAAAGCTATAAATTAGTTTCATAGTAGGACTGCAGGCATGCCCTCTCCCCATATTCTTGGGCTATAATTGGGTTATAGCTTTCCTACAAAAGCTATGAATTAGTTTCATAGTAGGGCTGCAGGTGTGCAAAGCATGCAGGGTGGTGTCTGGTGCACTTCTCAAGCACTGAGTAAACGCCAACTCACGTGTCTTGCATTGTGGCATCTGAATTACACACAGTGTTTTTGTTGTTGTTTGTTTTTTAATACATGGTCTTGCTGTCACCACAGGTAGAGTGCAGTGGTATCCTCATAGCTCACTCCAATCTCAAACTCCTGGGCTCAAGCAATCCTCCTGCCTCAGTCTCCTAAGTAGCTGTGCCTACTGGCACTACTCACAATGCCTCGCTAATATTTTTATATTTTTAGTAGAGACTGGGGTCTTGCTCTTGCTCAGGCTGGTGTCCAGCTGCTGAGCTCAAGCAATCCTCATGGCTCAGTCTCCCAGAATGCTGAGATTAAAAGTGTGAGCCACTTTGCCTGGACTGAATTACATACGTTTAAAAAATGTATTGCCCTATGTGTTCCCATCACTAACCATGAATAAGAAACAGAAAACATAAAAATTATCAATTTAAATCTTTGTGGTTAAATGTCAAAAAATATTGACTGTTTGTGTGCTATTTTATTTGTTAAACTGATTGAACAAAGGAGAGAATGTGAGAATGAGAAAAAGTAAGTGAGATAAGGATGAAAAACTAAATCCGCAAAATACAATGGCGCTAACTTTGGACATGAATCTGAAGGCGAGGGCTCTAATTTCTTCCCTGTCATTGGTGAGTCATGTAATCCATTGAAACCTCGGCCTTATTTTACTCATTTATAAAATAGAATGATCAAGTTCTGTTATTTCTAAGGCATCAGGTAAGACCCCTGCAGAGATGGCTGCCATTGACCCTCACCTTCTGACATCCATGCCTTTGCATAACCTCCTTTCTAGGAGGGTAGGCTGGACCCTGTGACTTGTTTTGAAGGAATAGCTGATGTTAAAAGCAAGGGGTGTCAGTTTCCAGAGAGGGCTACAAAAAGCTTGTGGCTTCATTCTCGCCTCTCCTCCCCCACTCTCTCCTTCTTTCTGGGCTCCTCCTCCTCCAAGGGAGGCTGGCTACCATGTTGTAAGTAACTGTGGAGGGTCCCATACTACAAGGAGTTTGTGTCTCTGGTCAACACTAACCAGAAAAGGGAATCATGACTGTGACCACAAAAGTGAGCATAGTGGAGTGGATTCTGCCCAAGTCAAGCCTTGAGATTGCTGCGTTCCTAACTGATACTTTGATTAGAGCCCTAGGATAGAGTCTGAGCAGGAGCCATTATTCACACACGCCCAAACTTCTGACCCATAGAAACTGTGGTATAGTAAGTGCCAAGTTTGGGGGTATTTTGTTACACAACAAGAATGATACAGACATCCATTTAGTTTAAAAATTCTCCAATCCTGAAGACTGCTTGTCTTTATAGAAGAAAACTGCAAACATACAAAACACTAAGTCTCTGAGTCCATGTCCTGGGCTGTGGCTGAGCTAAGAGAAAGGCTTTGACTGCACAATTTACACTTTTCTTCAGCAGGTTGGACTCAAAGGATTGACCTTACCTGGACAGGTATGTCAGAAGATGAGACACAACTTTTTATTTCATTAAGTTCAGACTGCTCAAAATAACTAAACATCTAAACATAGCCTCCCTGGACCCTAAGGATTTCCCACCTCTGTCTTCTAAGTATTTGGATTTCCACCCGGGTTAACATCACTCAAATGCCGGCCGACACATGGTTACCAATGTCATCCTGATTAGACTTCAGAGAGTTTTTGATGTGGATAAAATGGTGTGTGAAGCGTCCGACTCCCTCCTACACGACATCCATAACAGGCTGCACGTTCAGGGAGGCGCTCGGGAGGGGGAAGGGAAAGCGTCTGCGTATCGGATCCCCAGCCTCACTCACCTTGTTTATTCCATTCTATAATTTGAGTCACATTGGAATCACATTATGAGCAATTTCTGTGTGCTCAGGAGAGCTTTAATTAGCACAAACTTCACTGCCTGTCATTGCCTGGCCCCTTAATGTCAGTAAATCTGTATTTTTATCCGCAGAATGTGTTCACCATTTGCCAAAATAGCAGCTAACTCTCTGTCAAGCTGCAGCTCATTTTACTGGAGTGAAAACTGAACAAAGAACCGCTACGATTTCTGAGGTGTAATTTCTTAAGCATTTCATCCTGTGATTGATTTTTAAAATACAGTGATTTTAAAGACATGGTTGGAGGAAGCAGCTTCGATCGCTAACATGCTTAAATTTTCCTGATTGATCTGTAAGAATGAAATTAAAGCAAGACACAGGTTTTCCAAGAAAAATGCAGAGCATGTTTTTACATCCACTTACATAAGTCTATTTTTTTTTAAACTAAAATGGGCTTTAATTTTTCTGTATTGACTCTTCAGTTCTGGATACGACATGATAATGAAGGTAAGTGATTCTTTAACCCCAGGCAGTTGAAAACAATGTGTGTAATTACCTCTCTCAGCCAAGAAAAGCCTAAATTCTTCTTTGCCCTGACACGGGCACGTCCTAGCAGCTACCAGCAGCCCACACAGGCAAACAGAAGCCGCAGTGAGTATTACTGAGAAGTGGCGCAGAAGAAAGAGCCCTTTGTGGACAAATATTCATTTTTCTCATTGTCAAAGTCTGCACTGGCCTCTACCCTGTCTGGATATTATGTACTGTAGGAAATACTAAATACAGTTCTTATTTCATTATAATATTCAGTTCAGGTACGGAAGGGGTAAGTCTTCCGCCTTATCCCAAGAGTCTAAACCTGATTGGTCCCTAGGGTCTAGAGTGGTTCTCAACCTTCCTAATGCTGCGACCCTTTAATATAGTTCCTGTGGGTCGCAACCCACAGGTTGAGAACCGCTGCTCTAGACATTTCAGCGAGGGAATTAAATTACAAGCAAAAGAATCGATCTCTATCCAGGTAAGAGGTCTTGATGTCTTGAGTGACAGAGTGTTGGATATGGAGATGGCTTTTCTCTGTAACCTGCTGATGAGGAAGGAACCTGGACTAATAGGAACAGATGTTTTCTTGCAACAACAAAAAGGGCTCAGTAATTGTTTCCTCTCCTGCTCTAGCTATGGGGAGGGTGGGATTTAGATATATTCCCTTTGTGCCACCACACACATTCTTCTGACAGAGACAAAAATTGTCAGGGTAGAATAACGCTCACAGAACTCAGGAAAGCAAGTATTTCCTTTGCAAGCAGTCCCAGCTAGTGGGAAGCTGTCATCTGGAAACCTGTTTTTACCTGTCTCTAGCAACTATCAGGGTCCTAGTGATTGACCTAAGTGCCTTCTGGTCTAATTCTCTTACCTCTAGCCACGCGACCACAGTGGGCCCATCCCATTGGGCAAAGGGCAGGCCCTTTCTCCGAGCTTCTTCAAGAAGTTCATGCCTGAGGTACATTGCAAAGATTATTAGTTAGGTGCTGTGAAATAAGATGGCTATGATTATTTTTAATGACAACATTTTAAAAATAAACAATAATCCCTTACACAGTTTTATAAGAAAATACAGAATAACATAATTTCTTCTTCCTTTAAGTAACATACAAAAATTACCCATTGATTCTATTAGGAGTAAAACATTAAAGATAATTTTCCCAACATTTACTCTCTAAAATTAGAACATTAAGTGCTAATGGACCGAGAAACCTGAATTGTATTATTGGCAAATATTTTATCCCTTTAAGACGAGAATGGCCTACATTTTCATATTCAAGCACACATAATGGAGTATAAAAGGGCTTCTTCTATTGGCCCTGCACATCCCCCTCACTGTCAACGGTGGGGAAAATGCTTGTCTAGAGAAGCAGAAGATAAGTTTGGTCATTTTAGTCTCAATACAGTGATTGACTGATGTTTAGTATGTCCTATACATTCCAGAGTCTATCTTAGGAATTATTTCTTTGTTTGGACTGTAAAAGCACATCTCATTTGAAAAATAACTCCAAGATAAAATAATTTCCAATGCTGGAAAGCAGTGTACTGTGTGAAATTCAACAATACACTTAATTTCACTTCTAATCACTACTGTTTTAATGAAAGCAAAATACTTCACGGGCAATACATGGTTGTTTTGAGTAACAAAAGATACAAAGGGCCCAGACAAATGTAACCATCATTTCATTGTCCCTATACTGAGTCTGTAGAGCTGACATCCACTCGCAAAGCCAATCTGAGCTCATTCATTACTGGGAGAGCAGGTGGGTGTTTTCATTGAAACTCAAATTGCTTTATGCTTGTCCAGAACTGTGTTGAAAAATATGCTTTCTGTATCTTAGCATGCCTTGATCGTGCAAGCAAAGGATAAGAAAGGTATAATCATAGTTTTATTTTGAATGTGTGTCTTTTATGCTTAGGAATGTATCTTGAATAGCGTTTCTGTGTAATAATAAAATATCTCCTTTTGGCCTTTCAAAAACAGATGAACTCCAAATGAGGCATGTGATTATTTCCTGTGGTTAATTAGTTATTTATTGTGATAGACTGCGTTACTACGTTAAAATATATAATCAAAAATGCCTTTGTGCCCAGAGTTTTCTATGTTTGCAAGATACTACCCCCAAATGCATCAGGAATAGGAAGAAAGGGGACAAAACAAACACTGATTATAGTGGTTGAAGAAACACGTAAATCAACTGCTGTTTTCATCTGAGGGGCGGCATCAGTGAGTTGGCTGCTGGGAAGCCATTCAGCACCCGGAAAGGGGACAGCGCCACGGGTTCCTTGGACCCCCAAGGGCCAGGCAGAGGCAGGTCCTGGCTCAGTTTGCTCTCGTCACCCATTCCCTAGGGCTCCCAGTGACATTTCTCCACTGAAAATTGGTTTAACATAGCTCAGGCTCACTAGGGACAGATGTATTTATAGAAGTGGATTGAATGATCAAAAAACAAATTATCAGGTATCTGTTGGACACCTAGTGTGAGCTGAGACCTGGGCTCAGTGCAGGAAACTGACACAGACCCAGGACCTCAGGAGATCCCTTGTTACATACACAAAACACACACCTGAAACTTCCAAAAATACAACACGATACACAGACAGCTGCTCAAACTGGGCAATGCACATCTTGAGTGTGATATTTTGGGAAAAGAGGTTAAGAGCAATAAAAATAATGGGCAAAGGCTTTGTGCCCACTGAGCTGGCTTTGAAAGGCAGGCAGGAAAGAGTTGGGGATGGCATTCTGAGCAGGATAAGCAGCGCTGCAGGGGGTGTAGAGCTGGTAAGTAACATGTCATATAACGTAGACGGGAGTTTAGAGTAAAGCCTTCACGGAGTGTGGTAACAGTTGACATGTTGACTCCATTAGGGAAAGGGACATTTCCAGTTGTGTGATGGGTGAGTAACATTAAAGGGGAGAAATGAATGTAGATTTACAATTGAATTGTGCTTCTCTTAGTAGAAAAGCAGATAATTATGCATGAATATCCTAGGAAACACATAACATTTCCTCCGGTCAATCACATGAGTTGTAAGAAAGCCATGTTTTTAAACATTAGAATACTTTAGTTTGGAAATTGCTGAGTAGTTTCCTAATAAAAATTGCCTCAGGAAAGCCAGAATTATTCTGTTAAAAACTCTATGATCATGTAACTTTCCAAACACCATCTATCTCTCTGGGAATAAAAGCCAAGGCTTTCGGATCGGCCCTTCCCTCCTCATCTCTATAACTCAACTTCCTTCTCCTCTGGCAAGACTGGCCTCCTTCCCGTTCTGTGAAAATAACACAGGCCTCTTCTCTCTCCCAGGACCTTTGCATCTCACGTGTCCCATGTCTAAGATGCTCATTTCCTCTCTCTGCATGTGGCTCACTCCCTCATCTGCTCTAACTCTTTACTCAATGTCAAGTTCTCTCGGAATGTTTCCTTCTGTGCTTCTTCCAATCCCCCCCCCCAACCAGGAATTTCTTATCCCCATACTTTGCTTTATTTTGGGCCATAGTCTTTCTTTTCTAACATAGCCTGTTATTTACTCCTTGGTCTGTCCTCGGCATATATTCTGTTCGGATATGAACTGACTTCCAGAACACAGTCAGGTTCATAGTCACTGTGGACATTGAGCAAATGACATGCAGCGTTTCTGTTTATATACTTCTTGTCTCAGTCACCTGCGTCCCATAATGTTCTGTTTCGGTGGCATTATTTGCTGTAGTCCAAATACCTTTCTTTATTTTACCTTACAATCGTGTTCAGACTTTCATCCTTTGAAAGCCTTTTTTTCTTATATCCTAACTCCCTTTGAGTTTTTCATTTCTCACTGTCTCCGATAGTACTGATATTCTAGCTGATTCCAGGAGTCGGATCTGGTTTGTGCTTCCTGATGGGAGTCTGGTTATGAGGAAATCAATGCACTCAAACAGTTCTATTGTCCTGGAACAGAACTATCAATCATACAGTTGTTTGAGAAATTACTGAGCAATCTGGCCCCTAGAAAGTTTTATTTTCCATGGTTTTTGTTGGTTTGTTTTGTTTAAATCACAACTCTCATAATAACTTTAGTAATAGTACTTTAAGACAATGAGGTGTGGAAACCCAGGTGCTTTGGATTCTGCTCTTTGCTCCCCAGCTTCTAGGATTGAATCTCAAGTATCCCATTGAGGGTGGACAGTTTTACACTGAGGAGAAACAAGACAGACTAAGTTGGATGTCTGGTTTTTATACCAGGACTGTCTGCTACTTGACAGTACTCTGACCTGCTACTCCTTAATCAGAGGGAAGTATCAATTATGTAAAAAAGAAAAAAAAAGCATTAAAATTCTCAAAGAAATGCTGCAGTTAATTATTTTCAGTAATTAAATAATCTGTGCCACATAAAGTTTATAAGCGTCATATATCTTGGCATGTTGTCTT